CGATGGAATAATCAGTCTGTTAAGAAAGGGATTGAATAATCTTGTGTCTTGTGCATTGCTTTGTCAGGAAGTGGAAATACTTTCTGTAATCAGTTTTTCAGTAAACACTAATGACCATCGTAAATCTTTTTGAATGAAATGGATATGATTTTTGTATTCAACATATGATTACCCTAATGGGTTTCTGGCAATTCTTGAGCTCGTCGCGTCACAAAAGTTAAGCTAGTCGAGCCTTTTTGGCCCTCCAGATTTCAGGAATTCTACGGCTTCTGTTCTTCTGCTCGCTTCTTAGTAAAAATGACATTGCCTAAGCCATGTACACTTCTTTTGAAGAATTCTTCTTTTGAGTGGTATGAACACGAGACCAACTTCTTATTTTTGAATTTTTCTGAGTTTGGAAAAACGGCAGAAACTTAGCCAGCAACAAATACTCAGGATCAATCCATCACAGCTTTCACTTATTTTCAGATTCACAAAAGCGAGAAGGAGTCGCGAAATAAAAAAAATTAACATCATTTCAGAGTCACTCTAGACATCATAATAATTTTGCTATAAATCTTTTTTTTGAAAAGATGTCGCCGACAGCACGACGAGGAACACATATAACTCATGCTCTCTAGCAATAATTGAAAGAAGCAGCAGGAAAAACGCAAATAAGCGTTTTTAACTTAAAAATATTTCGCGACGTATCCGTCTTAAAGAGTCGCATTGCCATGACTTCTTAATTAGATAAACTCAGCGTCTAGAGGAATTTCCTAGTATGTTGCATTACAGTAACATCTAAAGTGTACGATAGACATACGTCGGAGATCAACATCGCAATTCCGTCTAGAATTTCGGGGGGTTATCTGATACGCTACGTAAAAAAACCATTTCTTACGATGGCTGAATTATTGTAGAGATACGTAGGCGTACGTTAAGAGATCACCATTGCGACTCCGTCTGAAACCTCGTCTTGAGAGATTATTTCATATGCTGATTATGAAAAAACCATCCATTTTCACATACACGTCTTATTGAATAGATACGGT